GATGTGTATTGACACAGAACTCTTCTTGAAAGAGCCGGATCCCCCACACACACACACACACACACACACACACACACACACACACACACACACACACACACACACACACACCCGCGCGCACACACGCGCACACACTCTTAGTGTCAGCTGCCTTGCCCCTGCTGAGGTGCCAGCCTCCAGAAAAGTGTCCATGAACGAGTTGGGCGAATATTTGCCTTCTCTGAAGGGCAACTTTCTTCCTTCGGCGAAATCATCCGTGGCCCAGTCCGGTTCTGCCTGTAGGAGCTTTGACAATGAATCCCTCTGAGACCCCCTCAGCACGAGACATACGAAGATGATGCAGAATAATTAGAGCAGACCAGATGTTTTGACGTAATTCCCAAACGGAGCATGCTTTAAAGCAGACTGAGCCCCCTCCGCACCTTCAGGCGCACACGCCTCAGAAAGTCTACCCAGGCCCACTGGTACACAGGCTGCAGGTGCTTTTCTCCGAAGATCTCCAACTCCTTGAACTGGTCCTCGTCAAGCTGAAGCTTCTCCAGGCGGACGTGCAAGCCTTCTTCAAGCTTGCCCTTCGCAAAATAGCCATTCCACAGAAGCCTCCTGGCTACCAAGCCCTTGCTAAACATCTTGAGAAAGGCATCGGGCAAAGTCTCAGGCAGCTCACCAGATGTCTCACGCAGTACCGCTCGCTGCTGTGCGTTTATAAGTTTCTTGTTTGAGTCCTCGAATTCAGCAATTTCGAAGGGTACCGGTACCTGTCAAGAAAAGTGCACACACTTGCCGTGAAATACAAATCACATTGTGAAACTTGGCCGTTGCGGTAACAGGTAGCATCTTCCGTAGCAGGAGCAGGAGAAGTACTTGTGGGGTGCGGGCGGTGGCAGAAGAAAATGTGCAGTAGCAGCCGCAATAAACCAGGATGCTGAGGTTTGCAATCTCCTTCCCTGAAATAAACACCCAACCCTCTCAACCACGTAAATATTCCAAATAAAGCACAAGTACAGAAGACTTGTATTCTTAGGTGGTGACAGGTCGTCACTATAAGGAGAAGAGTGGCTCAACAACTGCAACAGATCTCCCAGTGGCCTGTGCATCTTCTGCCTGTCAAGGCTTGGTGAGCCCAACAGCTCAGGTTGAGCGGTCAAGATTGGGCGTCTTTTTCGGGGGCTCCCTAAAGTATGGTTTATTATGTATCAGGTCTATACTGGTGACCCCGGTTTTTCGAAACTCCCATGTTTGGAAACCTAGGGCATGGCTTATCTTCCTGAACGGGCTGCATACGCGAACCTTGGAGTTTGTTTCAGTTGCACGAATTGCTCATGAAGGCTTGTTCCATAGTGATGCAGAATAAATATCGTCAATAAACACACTCAGCTTACCATGACTGTGATAGCGGCGCGCCTCCCTCATCGTCAGCATGTGCTTCGAATAGAAGAGAGCGCATACGGCAAATATGAAGGTATAAAACACCGCCGCCCATATCATTGAGACTTCCTGGAAGGCATTTCCCTGGAGATTACAGATGCATGCATGACGAATGGCGAGGGGATTGGCTGCGCATATACCAAGGTTGCCATCATCCAACATCTCGAAGCCCTCAAGCGTTGTCACCGTCAGCTCCAAAAACCAATGGCCTGAAAGCAGCAGTTTCAAACTCGCTCGCTGGCACGGATCTCAGCAGCTGATCTATTCTGAACCTGATGCATGAGACTTAGCTGACAGTGGACAGTATCCAGGATCCACTTTCGCTACCGATCCTGGGCAAGTTTTGCAGCACCAGCACAACAAGCAAAACACAGAGCGCCTGTCTCGTTCGTCGTGTGCTTGATCTCGAAGGCATGTTGGTTCTGCCCCTTGTGAGAGCAGGGCAACCTTCGCACTTCAAACGGAGAGTCCGGCAGTGGAGCTTCACTCGTCAAGGTGAAGATGCGCGGTTTGTCTAACATGGTCTCTGTGCTGTCCCCCGCAGCCTCTGAGCAAGTAAAGTTGCATACCTCGTCATCCTGCGATGATGCCACCTCCTCGACATCCGTGTGATCTCGGAGGGCCACTGAACGAAAAAGTGCTGCTGACAAAATCAGACCTCAGGCTCGAACGAAAGATCTTGAAACAAGCTTCTGTTCAAGCTCTGACCTTCTGAATCAAACAATTTCTGTTTTTGTAGACATGCAAAAGTAGACATACGCGCTATAGGCGCGGTCACTTGTCGTGCAGGTTCGTATGCAATCCAAGAGGCAGCTCGTCCACATGCACGGAGTTTTCGCAGAAAACATGGGTAGATGCCCTTTGAGCCAGGACGTCTTGTACGCGCAAACTTTGGGCGAGATGCTTCGAGGCAGCAAACAAGAGCTCTGAGCGAATGGTACCGGCCTACGAAAGAAAACATAGCCGACTTACAGCACGGGAGCCTGCTGGAGCCCCAGCGGGAAAAACCGTAATGTTTGGAACTCCTCATTCAATACTTACGAGTTTTGCATGGCCCCATTAAATTAAGGGAATCCATAGCAAAAATTGAAGCAAGCTTCATTTTTTTCTAAACATACCCCGCGCGGCTGCATATCTGCAAAACAACGCACGCAAACTGACAGCAACCCTGAACCTGTACCCTGACCCTAAACTCCCAACATACTAGCCGTCTCAATCATGAGGCCATCTCTCAGCAACATAGGAAACTCTGTCAAACTTTGGCTGGAAAACAAAGCCGTGAAGTGCACTCGTCCCCCACTACCCCTCTTGCGTATATCAACAGTCTGCCTGATGCCGAGGCACGGGGTCCTCAACGCTTCTCGCTTAGCCGAGACCCCTTTCACTCTTCGTGCCGATAGAAGTAGAAGTATTATTGAGGAACAGTTGTGCGAATTGCAGCATGCACCTTGGTGGTGATAGTCCTGAGCCAGGCCGAATGCCAGCTAGAGTCAATAAACGCTGGCAAGAAGCTTTCTGCCGTGGGCATCGCGCACCATGGCGTGAAGGTATACCTGATTTGGGCTTAGCGGTAAAACGCCAGCATTGCGATCATGACTTCGCGCGGTAATCTTCCTAGTTATATTGCTGCCGTTGCAGTACTGTCGAGCGAATACTACGACTACTACTCATGCCATCAACACTAGCACTAGACATCTTTATCGTACTTAGTCACCACTCACTCCCACTGGCAAGATATGGCTCCAAAAGCAGCCAACTGCCACAACACACAATCACGATGACAACAAAGAGGACTCCTGCTACTTCCATCTATCAACAACATCATGATCAGAACTGTCGTGATAGGAGTGTCAGCCTGATGACTTCTTGTCTGTGGTCCAGGAGATCCTGACACTTTTGGTGGTCCAGTGTGTGTCTGCGAGTGCATGGATTACCGGTCCCTGGCTTTCGTACTTTCCCCATAGTTCTAGTCAACTCGGACCTTCAGGTGCGGTTTGAGGGGAGAAGGGTCAGAGGCGAAGGAGGGATATCAGGTCACAGGACTTCAATGGTTCAGGGCTTCTGGAGGTTCCCAAGAAGTGAGAAGTGGAAGTAGGGTTCCCCGAAAGAAAGGGTTACTTTGGGGTTTACGAGTTGCCTTGCCGCAACCTGACTTGGAACCTGAGATAGCTGACTTTTTTCGGACCATAGTCTGTTTCAGTCCTTTTGGGCGTTTTGGGAGCTTCTTAGCTGCTACAGACTCGAATTTCACCCAGTCCCTGAACCTTTCACACACAAATCCCACAGTCCCTCAATATTCATCATGCACGAGTAGCCTGCATACAATCACATTGAAACAAGATCCATGAGAAGCCACCAAAATAACTCACCAGTTCAATGTGCTCCGAAATCCCGGAAGTCCGTGAAGATGATGTTCATCTCCCCCAATAGAGCCCACTGCCTCCCTTGAATCAACATGTATGGGGAAGTGTTTACTACGAAAAGAATGTGGGTGATTTCCATTCTGAGGCACTAGACCTGAATCTATCACCCTAGAATCTCTGAACTCTGAAACCCTAAACCATCAACACTGCGAACCCACAGGGAGGTGCTGACAATGCCGCCAAGGGGGCCGTGTGGAATGGGAGCTTGCCCGTGAGTCCAAGGGACATCATCACCATCCTACACGGCACTACACGGCTTCTTGGGGCTAGGGTTCAGGATTTTGAATTGCAGCGTTTCATGTCTCATGGTGTTTTATCACAATTTGGCTAAGGGTTTGTGGGCTGCTTTTGTTTGCGCCTAGGCCTTAGCACTAAAGTTTCAGGGAGCAGGGTTTTACGTGAAACACGGGATTGGTTGGGGCTTGTGATTCGAAGCACAAGTATAGTATAGCCCCAGGCAAGGTACGTGGCCGCCCCAAACGAGTGTCACACAGTCAGCTCCTTACACCCTAAAATGAAGCCTGTAAACCTTGCACCATAACCCTTAAGCCTCAAACCTAACCCCTAGACCCCAAGCGGCAACCGATAAACCCTACACTGAACCCTAAACCAGATTCAAAGGCCTAGGCAGAGGTCGAAAACTAAGCCTCAACTAAGGCTTGATCCTTTTGGGACTAGGGTTTAGGATGTCAACCCATTTCTACAAAAAAAACTCCAAACCCTAGAATGCCTACATGGTAAATGGTCTGGAAAATTATGGCCCCTCTTGGGGCACCGAAACACGGGAGGCCGTATTACAATGGGGGCCTAAAAGGGGACCCCAATTCTTAACCCTCCCACGCCCCCAATGTCATCGGCCCTAGGCAGGCCAGCACCAGTCAAAGCCAAAAAAACTAGAACATGGAAAGAAGATAAGTTGAGCGCATTCTCCTCCTGTGCTAAATTTAAGGCTGCAGGGTAATGTAACGGTAAGGAATCCTGTGTCTGGTTTCCTGGGATACGCTTTGCAAAACAAATATGCACAATCTGCCTCTTCTCGAACTGGAATTTGCAGCATGTTGGTCGGGGGTGAGTAGCCGAATGAATGCATAGGCAAAAGCGAAAACAAGGTAACGCAAATACCTTGATACATAGGTAGACAAGAAAACAGGGCAACGCAGACCAGTGCTTGTGCCAGGCTCTGGTAGGTGGTGCAAATAAGCCTGAAACTCAAGCCCTACTTAGCAATCTCCTAACCCCAGTGTCGAATTCTGGTTCAGCTGCGGACTTCAGCCCTAATGTTGGGGTTGTATGAGGCATACGCATCACCAATGCTTCGCGCATATCCTCGAAGCTCGTATCCCAGTCCTGAACATGTTGTAGACGAATGCGCGATCAGTTTTTGACAACCCCAACATTAGCATAGTTGCCAGCCATTGTCCACCCTAGAACTCTGCTCAAATAGGTTCGGCGGCCCATGGCTGCCCAATATTGGGAAGACCCCGTGACGACGTTGGAAAATTTTTCCGTGCAAGCCACAAACGGTACTGTTCTCAACGCAGGCACCTGGCTACCCAGAAGAAGAGGATGTCATGACCCGTCTCCAGGAGGGAGGTCGGGAAGAATGCTTTGAAGTCCTGGCTTTCCGCTCTGAACTGGGGATCTACACCAGCAAGAGATCAGTGATCGCCTGAACCTCTAACGTTTAAAGCCATTCCTTCAGCCAACCTGTTGGGGTCCTGTCGTCCAGAACTAAATCATCCAAAGATTACCGGTTGCAGGAGTTAGTGTGGCTTCTTTCGAGCTTTGCTTCAGAATTGGGCCTGCCACTGCAATGTCTGGGCTCCAGAACAGAAATCAACTTACAGGGTATCCCTAAATGTTGTGAGCATGCATGTGTCATGATTTAGGCCCAGCGGGCCATCTGTATGGGCAATTTGGGGCCTAAATCTATCCTATTTCAAGTGTGTAGACTTGTGTAGATATATATGTGTACATATATATATATATGGGTTATTTGACCGTGAAGATACGTGCAAAGAAATTGAACATTGGAATTGGTACCGGAGATTTTCGCAAAGAAGCCGAGTGTAGCTGCATCATGGTGGTTTTTTGATGGAGGTGACCATAGAGGGGAGGGGGCTGCTATCACAGAGCAGGCTAAAGTTTCGAGCTGGCCTAATCACACAAATTCAACGAGAACGTTACAGGAGAAGAGCTCCTTTCATTTTGGATGGACGTAATTACCTTTTCAATGCAATAAAAAAAACAAATCGACTACAGGATACTTTTTTTAACCAGGCGAGATGCACTGCTAGAGAAACGAATTAGAATCCTCAAAGAGCACATTGTCTTGAAGCTCCCGCTCGCCATCGAACCCTTCAAGGCCCTCGTGGGGCTTAGGGGGGCTTTGTATTTAGGGTTTAAGGGTAGGGAACGCTCAAACGGGTGGGGTATGCGTTAGAAGGGGTGAATGGACTCCTGCCAGTGTTGATGATGTCGTTGCCAGCATGTGAAACAGAACAAACAAAAGAATTTGGCTTTCCGGAATCTTTACAGAGCCTTTCAGGTGTCCTGAAGACCTAACGAGGAGCTACTGGAAAACACCCGGCTGCAGTACAGTCCTACCGGCAAGTCTTTCGCATCCTTCAGGGGAGCGCAAACTCAACTCCAAACCCAGAGCCTCAAAAGCCAGGTCGCGAGCCTGAAAGCCCACAGCTTGCTTAGCTGCTCTGAACCTCGACTCCTCCTTCCCTGAGTCGGCCACTTTAATGATGTGTGGGCTGATGACCCTCCTCGTTGTTCTCGGTGTCTGGCCAGCCGAACACGGAGAAGGGGAACAGACCTGGCATGAGCTTAGGCTATATATAGTTCACTGCTTTGGGCTGTAAACTTGTGAACTTGCGAGATTAATGGAGACAACTAGGCTGCAGAAAACACCCACTTCCCAAAAATTATCCACGTTTTCCTTGAGCATGGAGGCTGATCGAATCTCAAACATATCACTCTTGATCAATTTGGCGTCGGAAATGGAAAGGCCTTAATTGAATCGGAATCAAGAACTAGGCACTTCCGGGGCAAGCTGCCTGGTAGACTGCAGCATGTCGGGTTTCACATTTCACTGACTGTTGGGCTTTGATCTATCTGCAGAATTGACCTGCAGGTTTTCAAGCTGAGCTTTAGGTTCTGAGCTATAGCTTACTGCTGACTAGTAGGGAATGAAAGCAGGGAATATGGGGATTATATCTGGACTACCATACGGATCCGTTCCTAGATTCCCTACGAACCAACAGTGAGATAAGGTGAGGTTGCAGGATCCTTGCCGTCAGAAAAATCTCATGGCCGCAGATCCCACCCAGCTGTTGGGGGTCACGGCCTTCTTGGATCCTTGCTTGGGAGTCAGAGATGCGTGAATTTTGCAATGCATGAACAATGCCAGCTTGGGTTTCAAGGTAAGGTTGTTGGGGTTTATTCTCTCTATTGACCAGCGTTCGACATGAGCAGTTGCCCAGAGATGCAAGCTTGGATGAAAACCTCCACCACAAGCAAGCAGGCCTGAGGAGAACCAGGTGTCCAGCACATCCTCATCCTGCTCCACTTCCACCTGGCCAGCTGTGCGGCTTGGAGTTTTAGGGTTCAGGGGCTTAGGGATGAGGCCTGAACAGAATAACGGCGTGTAGAGTTGGGGCAAAGGCGGAAATAAGTTTCATATAAAATTGCGAAAGATGTCAGCAACCTTGCCAGTAATGCAGGAAACAAAAGACCTATACAGCGCAATGACACAATCCTGGACTCCGTGCAACCTAAACCGAGCGGAGCGGGTATGTACACGCGGACTCATGCAGGGTTTTATCCATCAAGCATTGTTCTGCAGCACCGCTGCTTCACTAGAGCAGGGTCGTGAACAGGACGGATGTGCCGCTCGATCCCATTCCCCAATCACACAGCCACCATACATGGTGCCCAATACACTGCAACTCCCGGGCTAGAAGGTTTATAGGGTGGTGCAAGACTTCCCCCCTCCTCAGTCGCACTTTATTGAAAGAGTTCGCGATTACGGGCTAGGGGGGTTGTTATGAGGTGGGGGGGGATTTACTCGTGCCCTGGGCTTGAGGGTCAGGAGCAAGGCACTTGCAAACTTGGGATCTCTAAAGTTGACTATGAAGACTATGAAACTGCTTGATCTTCCCTTATTTATGGAGCGTAAATGGGATTTAGAGCCAGGTTCTTGCACACTCTCCGGCAACATTCCAATTGCTTCGCAAAGGAAGAAGAAAAGACAAGCAAAAAACAGAATTCAGAAACCACACCTAGTTGGCAACTACATTGCTAGCAAGGATGGGATGGAGAACGTTCCTCCCCTCGAAAAGGGAAACAATACCAAGGACTCACTATACAAGCACACATCGAAACAAGAGCGACAAGAAACCCAATAATCATATGATATATATATATACACACACACTACACAACAGAACCCCTAACAGCAACAAAAAAAAATCATGACAGCAGATACGGTGATAACAAGCATACTACTACTAGCACTCGTGTAGATGTACATACATATATACCCATATCAATTGCCAAAACCACCCACACTCCCCTCCACTCCCACTCCCACCCAGAAACACAACAAAAACTTACTGGTTCTTACTAGGGGACAAAAGGAAAAATAATAATGGGACTATATAGGGGTTATCCTCGCTTTTTCCCTACTAAGAACTACGAAGAAAAAAAGAGGTGGAGGCCTGCGTTGGTACATAAGCCCAAGATGACCCCTAGATAAACCTACATAGTCCCCAATACAATCCCTCAAGAACGGTGGAGACCTGCCTTGGTCCCCAGGGCCTTCTCAGCCTTGGCCGCGGCCTCCGCGGGCGAGCGACCAGTAAACCACTTCTCCTCAGCCTCCGGAGGCTTCCAGGTTAGCCCTTTTGGGGATCGTGGGGTTTTCGGGATTGAGGGTTTTGGGTTTCGTTCTGAAGGTTTAGGGTCTAGGGCTTAGGGTTTAGGGTTTAGGGTTTACGGCTTAGGGTTTAGGGTTTCGGGTTTAGCAGGGTTGGGAAACCAACACCCTGAACCCAAAATCGTAAGTCGCAAAACCTAAGTCCTTAGCCCCTAAACCTTCAACCCTAAATCCCAAACCCCTAAACCCCTAGCTGCTCTCACCTCTAAGGCCTAACTTCCGGCCTGCGCCGGCTTTACCACTTTGTAGGCCGGGATACGGTGCCCCCACCAGAGCTGGCGGGAGATGCACCACTCCTGGGTTTTGTGTTTAGGGTTTGGAGAGGGTTATATAGGGGTATAATATCGGGATAATGGAAGATAAAGTGGAAACTACTGTTTAGGGTCTGGGCTTTAGGGTTTAGGGCTCCTGGATTTAGGGTTTAGCGTTACCAGGGGAGGGGGGGTGCGTGGCTTGAGGATCGAAAGCTGACACAAGACGGGTTCGAACACGTCTCAAAGATTCACATCGTCACATGGTGCTAAGGGCGTGTGCGTACAGTTCCCATACAAAGTCTTACAGGGCAACATCGTCGAGGTCATTTTTCAAGATCCCCGACTAAAACGACAAAACGAAAATTCCTAACTACTAATAGTCGGCTGCACTTAGGTTGGCAAGCCGAGCGTCTTGGATGTTCCTGAGCCAGTGGTACCAGGTCTGGTGATGAAACTCGGGCAGAATCTTGAGCTCACCTGCGCAAGCACGAACCCTTCAACTTTTGGTGGTGAAACCCAGTAATGCTGTATCCTTCTTATGAGATACAGCAACAGAAAGGAATGTGATCCGGCCCTATAGTGGTGACAAAAGTATCCCCACTAGAAAATATTACTCAGATGCAAGATCCCAAGCAGTGTCTACACACCTAAAGGCCCAGTCCATACATCACGTCTCTTCAACAAAGTCTCAGCAGGACAAGCCCAATTGCAAAGCTAGATGGGATGCTTGGAATTTGTTACGTTCGTTGGAGCCCCTACATTACTTGAAGCTTCACGTGTAGCTCTGAGTGAGGCTACAACTAGTAACAAGTGCTGTAGGGAAGTCGAAGCCAGTTATGGGCAGAGTTATCCAATGGGTAGGAACACGAACTATGTCGGGGCGGGGCGTGCCCCGACAGCTGAAGACGTGAGGCTTGAAGGTAGGGCCTAAAGTGTAGGGGTCCAGGGGTATGAAGGTTTATAGTTTTGGGGCTGGGGCATTTAGGGGTTGAGGGGAACAGCAGTGTTGGGCACTTGGGAGCCTCACAACACCAAGTGATGGATGGAGATGAGAAGTCGTGTCGCAAACACCTTCATTCCAAATTCCGAACTCCTCAAACCGTTGAACCATCAAGTGGCCCTAAGTAAATGGGGATTATCAGCATCCCTTGTCCTGAGCGAACAAGGTTTATCCTGAGACACTGCCAAAATCCTAAGCCACATTTCCCCAGCATCGGGCGCCTTGCTCCAGGGCCTCTACACTCCGTCTGGCAAGATCCTGGCAGTTCATCCACCACTGCCTAAGTCATCTTTCGCATGAAGCTGTGATTGTAGGGCTTTGAGGTCCAGGGTTTAGGAAAGGTCCCCCGAGTTTGTGGCTTGATTTTAAGCGGCGAGCTGGAAAATTTAGTTTAAGTTCACAAGGCGCATGAATCTTGAAATCCAAAGTTACGCCTTATGTCCAGTGCAGTTTCCCATTCCCAACAGAATCCATATACATACATATATGTAATTCCTATAAGCACTACCCTCATAATCCTCTTTTCACCGCTATAGAGCCCTAGCTAGGAAATGCCCACATCCCGAGACCCTGAACCATGTCGTTCGAGCGTCGGTTTCAGGTATGGCTCGATAATGTCTTTAGACCGCGAGCAGAAGCCCAAGCGCATGGCGTGAGATTTCTTTCCCACCTTGACTTCGATTGGGATTTACAGGGATTGTTGGACCTGGATTATGTAGCAATCTATAAGGATTGTAATAAGGGGATTTGGGCACACGCATGATGAAGAATCAAATGCAAAGCAACACGTGGAGATGTATACTACAGGTATGATACAAGTGGTTAACAGGAACAGGTGGGATTTGGCTTCAGTTCGTTGAAGACTCTTTCAAAGCTAGTCCCAAGCAACTCAAACCGCAAGCCCTGGTATGTTGTTGCTCTCCTCCCCCAATCTAAACAGGAACCCAAAGTAATCCAAACATAAAGGTCGCGATACGTGAAGGCAGCTTCAGCGCAGTGATGCCTGGTCCCTGATGCTCCACAGGAGCACAAACACACCTATGAGCGGCCCTAAGTTGTGATACGCCTTCCTTATATCCCTACTTTTGTGTGAAGGGTAAACCCTGACCCCGCACCCCAAATCCTTAAGCCTCTGCCCTTCCCTCACCCAAATGAGAAGCACCCCATCTAGCCCCGAGCATTTAAGAACAACATTCTTTCTAGAGGCCATTGGCCCGTTTGCAGGTTCTATGTTACTTTGAACAAGGGGGACTCCTGAGCCCACAAATCCCAGAGAGCCAGGAGACCCAGAGGCCTTTCTTCTCAAGAGCATCCTGCGTTGGGCAGGGCAGACTTCCCCGCCCTCCCCCCACAGGGAGTTGCAGGGGTTGACAAGGGCCTGTGAGGATTTTTTAGCATGGATGTACCAAGCCGATATTTGGGAGTTCAAGCGATTAATGTGAGCATTCCGCTCCTCCAGACAAGCATGAGGTCGATGTAGACTCCCTTTGAAGGAACTGTACTTTTCCCAGAACTAACAAATTCTTTGTGGAGTGTGTTAGACCTGGCGAAGAGCATAAGCTCACAAACGGAGATTTTCTAACTGATCAGCAATGACCAGTCGCATGGCGCCATGTATACTGAAGTAGGAATTTAAGCGTGACAACACTCCGCAAGAATCGTCCGCAGAATAATTCGTATAGTAGGAGCAATTGCACCATATGGCAGGCCCAACTCCATCATCCCTCAGCCCAAAAATTCAGACACAACACCAAGCACTTCCTGTAACAGTGTAACAAGGTCGCACCGTACTAACGCGCCAGGAAACAGCCCTAAAATAAAACCATGCCTGAAGCCTGAGCGTGTGCTCGCCCCTCAACTATCAAACTTAGCCATACTCTTAACCATGAACCTACCCGATCCCTACACCAAGTCCTAACACCCTAACCATGAGATCCTAGTCCCGAAGCTTTCCCCACTCCCCAAACCTCAGTCCTCAAACCATCAAAAGTCATCATCCAACCCTGACCCTACTACGCACAGAGTCCTGCACCGTCCGCCTTGCTGCAAAGCGATGCTGGTCCTTGAATTCGCCACCATTCCTCCACAATGCCGGTCACAGCTGAGGGCTTGGGTGCAGGATAATGCTTACAAACAAGGGCTCCGGGCCCCAAAAAACCTTTTTTGAAGAACAATTCCTGTCAAGGTAAGCCAGATGGAGGTCCGTGCTGATTTTAAAGGAGGGTAAATCCCAACAAAGCTCCATTTGCAGCCCCGTGTCTCGTTGATCATACCATCCTCTGTGAACACGTTGATCTGCGGTAGCTTGTGACGTTGGCCCGCCTGGATTGGAACAAAGACCTCTACCTCTACCTGTCTCTCTCTCTCGCTGCCTCTCTCTCTGTCTGTACTGGTCTAAATTGAGGACTCATCTTAACATGGGTCATCTTAATGAGGCTTCTGGCTAGCTTTCCAGGCCCTGCTGTATCGATTATTGGCGATGTGTTGGAAGTTGACATGTCTGGGGGTCAAGAATGATCTTGGGCGCAAGCTGGGCAACCCTTAGATCGTGAATACTGAGCTCTCCTGACACCAACCCTCAATCCTGCATTCGTCAGTGATGGAGATCCACACATCACACTTCGAACTTGAGCTTCGAGCCCCACGCTCCTCCCATTCGTTTCAGGAACCACTTTGCCTTAAAGTCATTGTTGTCGTGCGCTGGTGTGATCTTCACGCATCCGGTGCCGAACTCTCGGTCCACCATCTCGTCTGCGATCACCACCTAATGTAGGGGTTGGGATACGTGGAGGCGTGGAGGGGAAGCTACAAGCATTACAAAGCAGGGGGTCGCTACGGATCACAGTATTAAAGACCAAAAACGCATTCAAGGTCCTACAGTATTTGGGCGCCGCATTGAATTGTTTGACTCCTGGGTCTGGGTTAGGACATACCTCGGACCTACTTTGTTCTGGTAGGCGTATGCTGGACCCTAGAACCACCGTCCCTGCCAAAACAACCACGCAGGGCCACTTTTTAAAGTCTAGACCCACATGCCAGTACTCCGCATATCAACACCCAATGGCTTTTAAAGGATTCGGAAAGTCTGCCACGGGTTATGAGGGCAGGGCTTGGGAACAGCTCAACACACAGACTGTCAAGGGTCTGGGTATCAGGTTCAGGGTTCTAAGTTTAGGGCCTGAAGCCTTTGGTTTAGGAGTGCAGGACTTGCAGGTTACCGTTACAGAAAGAGAGCAAACGTCCTCTGCGCCTTGCGTTTCCAAAAGCATTGCTTCCCCAGATTGTTAGCGCTCTCCTCCTCCCCCCTATTCTTAAATACAGTGGCAATCCAAGTGGGCTATTATAAGGAATAGTTAACGTTCCTGGTGAGGGGTGCCGAATGTCTTGAGGGAAGCAGCTGAGAATCCCTCGCCTGCAAGCCCTTCCGGCCACTTTCCACACAGAGGCCGTCCCTGAACTACATTCACTCGTTCCCATTACTTCCCATTTCCGAAAAACAGGGGTACCCCCCATACTCCAGAATACGATGGGGCCACCAGAAAAGGACCTCCAGTTTCAGCAACTCACCTACTCAAAATATGTACTCAGGAACCACAAGGCTCTGAAGCACGCCAAGCACCAATTCTAAGCCACAAGCTTACCTCTGGCTTGCAAAGACTGAAGGAAAGCACAGGACATGCAAACTACCGGAATATCGGCTTATATAGGGACTCCTTGAAGGATCCGTTCCTTCATTCCTTGCTAACCAGAGGTACGAGATACCCTGAACCATGCATGGGGGCGTTCTCTCCTTAAGGATGTCATGGATAATTCTATGGGGACTACGAAAATTGTATGGTCACCCTAAGCCCAAATCCCCCCAACCTAATGCGCAAACCCCAGAAACCCTAAAGCCCTCAACCCTAAAATCTGAACTCTAAGCCCTCCACCAGTACTAACCCCTGATCCCAAAATGGCGAAACCCCTAAAGCCTAAGACCCCAAAGGCCACCATCTTCCGATTGGGGAAGAAGGGATGCTCCAGCTCTTTCCCGTGGAACTCCTGACAGTTGAGCAATGTTTTTTGGTGCTTGAACCTAGTAGGATTATATTCCTCATACAAAATACCATACCCCAAAAGGAGGATGGAATCTTACTCTATACTGGGTACCATAGTATCCCCAAATAAGATACTACTCAGTTGTCCAAAGGCGTAGGGGCGTCTGGGTAAGGACTTGTTGAGTTTCGGTCTTCTTGCGTAGGGTTTTCGGGGTTTGGGGACAAAGGTTTAGCATCCATCAGGTTTTCTGCTATAGACTTTAGTGCATCAGGCTTGGGATGATCAAGTAACCGGACTGATAGCATAAAGTTGAACTGGGCTCATCCATAAGAACCTCGTAAAACGTGCCCCCCAAGATTGGTTGTGTCTTGACGCTTGAAAGTGATGATGTGTGCTTGACTCAACACTGCATGCATGATGATTTTAGGCATTGGGGCTCAAGGCATGAATAGATTCAAGAAGTGCACTTGCTGCTCTTGTATACGGCAGAGAGACATGAACAAATTCCTCTGGGCGGTTGTCAAACCTGAGGCCCAAACAGCCATCTTAGGCCAACAAGGAGCTTGTTAGGCTCCTGTGAAAGATCACATACGGACTCTTCCGAGAAACTCCCTATTTCAATGGTAGCTGAGATGGGAAACTCTCCGGTTTTGAAATGGACCGGGTTAGGCTTTGGGATATTTTTTAAGGTCTGAGTCACGAGAACCCTAAATAACCACGTCTGACCCCGAAGCCTAATAATTGGGGCGCACGATATGGGACTGCTCGCCACAGTCTTCCCTTAGCCGGCCTTTGCATCTTGCTAACATGGTTCGGTGCAACATGGCATCAAGCTCCAAAGCAAACAGCAGGTGGCTCAAGCAAAAGCCAACACGCCGCGAAAGCCTCTGTAACATCATGTAGCCTTCATGGATACACTTTGGACATATCTTGAGCTTTGTGGGTTTAGCCAGATCCGACGCTGTTTTGGGGGAGGGCATGGGTTTGGGTTCAAAGTTCACGGGCATACTGTGATTCAGCACACATCACGGGCTGCTTACGTCATGGTCAAAAGAAGTCTCCGCCTGTGAGGGTAAGCACCCTGAAGCTCAACTCTAAACCCTACACCCCACTCCCTACCCCTTGACCCTGAAACAACGCGAAATTCTGGACACGGATTGTTAACCTTCGACCATTGATTGAAATTCAATCATCAAATTATGTCGAATTTGTCATGTCTCTACCCATGTCTCACTCCGGCTGTAATACTTCTCGTGTGACAGGCCCCTTCAGGCAGATCGTGAGTGAGCCCTGCAACCCCGTTTAAGCATCTGCCATCGCAGAATCATCCAGCTGGCCTTGTATCTGTCATCCTCAGGATGCACGGCCACAGCGGTGTCTCCTTGGCTGCTGTTCGGCGGCCTCACCCTACTTGCTGTATGAACATGCTCGCGCTCTCATCACAGCAGATTTGCTAAGGACCACCAGCTTTCCGCAAACTGTCACTGCCAGGCAAGCCCTCAAGTGAGACTTCCAACCTGCATGCCCAAAGTTACCCTTAGGTGGTCCTACTCTTGCACTTAAAACTGCCAAATTGGGACTATGTAATGACCAAAACATAATAGCACTATCACTTGTGATCTTTCGTGGGTGGGCTCACTACCTCAGGCCTACCGAGCCTTCCAAACATATGGGGTTCTCCAACATGGAGCACCTTCAGGGGTTGAGACTTTCTACGGAGTGCATCTTCTGCCAATAATGTGCAGGCGATGAGGGTAGTTTTTTTCAAAAGAGTCATCCTACCATGGGAGTTTGTCTAGACTACCCCTACATAATCCTCAGTAGGCATCCCCAGAATCTGAGAATCCCCACACATCCCTAACTTGCCTAAGGGACCCCCTGTTTTGAGAAACTCCCGGTCATATTTGGGAATGTCCGAGACACCAAGCATCGTCTCAAGACGTGTCGTAGCCACCACCAGAGCCTACGCCGAAGCTTCGCTCGACGTTTAAAAAGTTCGAGGCCAGGGGCCCTTGATACAAGGCGAGAATGCAGAAGGTCTCAGCCATCAAAATCCAAGCAAGTGTAAGGATTTTCGTATGGTATACCGGTATCGGACTTTGAGCGCTCAGCAGAACTTGGTTGCTCTCAAAACCCTCTCCAGAACTTTCGTCGTTAGCCCCTTTAGATGAAGGCGAGGACGGCTAAAGTTGGAGTAAAGTCCCGCCAAGATGAGAAGGGTTTGGGGCTTGTGCGTTTGAGCTGGTGCCGCGAGTGTGGCCTAGGCTTCGGCTTCAAAAGCACAAACCCTCCTCTCTAGAGAGTAGACATGGGGAAAATGGGGCCTAGGCGAGCTTTCGGTGGAGTTGTGTGAGAACAATTGTTGAGCTCCTTGCTGCGTCCGGCCTTGTCGGTGCCCTTCACCTTGTACTTGAACTCGCAGAGCACCCCCACCTGACGAAATTTCACAGAGGCTTTAAGGGGATTTGGGGTCCTGAGTCTTTAAGGCTTAGGATTTAGGGTGGTTCATTTGCCCGGCCCTGACGTCTATATGGCTACGTGCGGCTACATGGGGGACACATTATCCTTCAAGACGTATAGCCCGATCAGGTCCATACGGTATTCTAGTAGTCAGTATAGGATCCCTACAAGAACAACTTAAACTCTCCACCTGCCCTAAACTCTAAACCCTAAGCCCTAAACACTCTCAACCCTAAACTCCAAATCCTAAACCCTAAGCACTCTAAACCCCAAACCCTAAACCCTCAGCCCTGGTCCCTGTGGGACAGGCCTCCACCTTGTCCTTCAAGCCAGGCACATCTACCAAGGTCTTGCCTTCAAGTCCAAGGCTCTTCACTTGGGTTTGGGGTTGAGGGTTTAGGGTTTGGGGTTTGGGGTGGCTCTCAAGTCAATTTGCCTTTGGCATTCCTTAGCTTCTAGACCCCTTTCTCAGATTTCGCATGCCCTTTCACCGTCATTGAATAGCCCCGCATCATAAGAACCCCCAAAACACACCAGCTTATGATTCGGAGAACCGCCCCTGTAGGAGACTGTGTTGTGGAGGGCCGGCAAATGCCCAAAACCGCCATGCAAAAGATCTCCCAAAGCGAGGTCGTTTGCATGTCTGTCCCAAGCAGGTTCAGCAGTCGAGATTTATGTCCCACAAGAAGCTGAACCCCAGACCCTCAAGTTTCATCGTTCAAAAATGCTAGCACAACTTGATAGTCCTCTAACACCCCTAAATGCCCTTCCCGTACTCCAAACGCGCACCCTCTTCCCACTATAAAAGAACTGTCTTTGCTAATATCCCAAATGCCACTGCATGCTTCAAGGATAGCTGGATTTGGTTGATACTTTGTTTGTACCTTTTGTGGCTGGGGGCCCGGAATCGACGGACGCCCCTCACGAGAGCGCGACTCTGAGGCAAAAACTGTGAGGACTGATGAAAAATCACGAAAATCTGAAAAATTAAGAGAAAATGTTGTTAAAAATGATGAAAATGATAGAAAATGAGGAAGATGATAGAAAAATTGTGGAAATGATTAAAAGTTATGAAAATGATAGGCAAATGATACAACTTGTGAAAATCACAACAATGATAGAAAAATTCTGAAAAATTGTGAACTTAATGAAGAATAATGACAAACGACAGGAAATTATGGAATAACCCGTAGAAAATGACGAAAAATCATTGAATAATGATGAAAAATGACAGAAAGTAATGAAAAAAATTAGGAATATTAGGAAAATGATAGAAAATTGTGAAAAAAAAACTGAAAAATTGTGAAAATCATGAATAATGATGGAAAGCCAAAATTCGAACAAGCTCCAGGCCAGAGCGTGCACCCCCCCAAAAGAAGTCATTAAAAAAGGACCATTCTTTAAGCATCGTCACAGGGGGAGATGATCTCTGCTTGACTTAATGGTGCTTGAGGAGGAGTGGGAAAGTCAATATACATACCAGAATCAGGCAGTACATGGTGATTATACAGAGACAGTTCCCTTCCCAGGTGCCAGTGATGTCTTCATGATCCACTTCCAGATCTGACAGTGCGGTCCGAAGGTATGGGCACCAATTCACCTAAGATGGAAGCTTTTCGATTTTGAGGACCTCTCGCGGCTAACCAAGCAAGAGTCGGGCAAGCAAAGGGATGCCTTGGGAAAGAAGGTGCAAAAATTCCTGAAACTTGGCACATCTGTTCACTCCTAGCGGTTACGTAACTTCACATCTCTCCTGCTTTGGTTAGTTTCAAACACGCCTCCTCACCAAATACCAATGCTGCCTTGCTTTACGGGGGATCCTGCTTCTCGCGCATTTACGACTTGTGGTTGATGCTGCTGGTAGAGCTAATAACAGTATCACCAGCAGTAGGAGGAGGAATGTAATAGTAATGGTTATTAGTTGCTGTAGCTATCACTCAGCTCCAAGACACCTCTACTGGATTGCAACTGGGTTTTCTAATCGCGTCCTGCGAGTGACCAGTCGGTTGTCCCGGTAGATGAGGCCTTGCTCCTCAGCTGTGGTTTTGGGTTTCACGTAGGGGCCTAAATAATTGCATTAGTTGCGGGGTATTTCATATTCTAGTTATACACGAATGATGGAACTTCGTGAGGTTGTGCATTAGGACTTGAGGCTTATTGCTTTAAAGCACACGGAATTTATCTACCACAGGGTTGCTCAGCAAAAGCAAGCGTCGGGAACGCCGCCGCAGCAGCAGCAACAGCAGGAGGAGCAGGAGGAGCAGGAGGAGCAGGAGGAGCAGGAGGAGCAGGAGGAGCAGGAGCAGCACCAGGAGCAGCAGAGGAACGAGGAGCAGCAGCAGCAGCAGCAGCAGCAGCAGCAGCACATAACCCAGGGCATTACAAAGGATCCAGAGGTAGCCCCCCTAAACCCTTAAGCCCGAGCCCTAAACGTAGGCCCCAGTGAGATTCTCCTACCTACACAGGCAGACGTGCTCGTCCAGAGGCCTGAATAAACCTGAAGCCCAAGAGACCAAAACCATAGACCCTCCGCCCTCAACTTCACCCAGGCGCATGGAAGCGAATGAAAGCCTCTTCTACCGCCCGAGCGCAGCGATCGTCCATGGTAAACCTCAGCGGCTTCGCGTATTGGAATTAAGGCTTAGGGCTTAGGGTCCAGGATATGTACAGAGATATAAGGGTATCTAAGCATATTTCGTACATACAGTTGTTGTACTCCAATTTTCTTATTGACCTTCTGCCGCCGTTTTGATAGCATCCATAATTATGGAAAAATCAACTGCAAAAGAACATGGACAAAGAATGGCAACTGGATGTTGTAAGGCTTTATAAAGTTTAGGCTCTACTTGAGGGTTCAGAGGTAGTTCTCAGGGGGTTTAGGAAAAGAGGATGAACCGTACTGACCTAACCCCAGTCATGAACTATCCATGAACCTGGGCTCGGCTAGGAATCTGTAGGGGGATTTACAGAATTATGGTCCCTTTTTGGGTACCCCAGATATTAGGTGCCGTATTTTAATAGGGATCCCAAAAGGGACCACAATTTTGATAACCACCCATATATATATATATGCATATGATCACCCCCAGCCTGAACCGACCTTCAAACAATTTCCGAGATTTCCAGATCTTCCAGACAATGAGACTGAGACCCCCAGACCCGAGATAGACTTGGTGGACTCGAAAACTTTTCAGAACTCTACAATTTCCAAACCATCGCCTGAAAACACAATGGGTTCTCTACACAGATAAGGAATTCGCTGAAAAAGTTGGCCCTGCAAATTATTTCCGAAATAGCTACCATTATGTACCACCTGATTTTGTAGAAAGCGTGGAAACTTGGGAAAAGTTGGCCCTGCCAACTGTTCCACATTTGTTGTATGGAAGTGGTGGAACAGATTGGCCCTGCTCGCACCCATGGAGGCATGTCGACCTATTCTGCGAAAGTTGGGCCCCTGAAAACCCTTAGAATACACAAGCGACGCCCGAACCCAGATCCTCAACCCCATCCCTACGCCTCAAACCTAAAGCCTAAACAAGCCACAGTGACTTCCATGTTCATGGGGGTTCCATAAATAGGGGACCCAGAAAACACCCCAATAGAATGTAATCCTTGTTCTACGGAGATTCAAAATGAGACCTCACTTTTTTGGGATGCCCCCCTCAGTATAGTACTATATTAAAGTATTCTATATTATATCCTACTACATGTACAACATCTCAAAATACATTATGTTGTAATATATTATAGTATCATATATCACAGCATATAATATATCATAGTGAATTATCGCATACTATAGTATATTACTATACAATACAGTATATTCCTTGCCAGCTACCAAGAAGGAATTGAGGTGTGTGGCCTTTCTCTGGTCCAGTCCTTTGCAACAAGGTTTCAGGCTAGGTGGACCCCCGACCCAGTAATAGGGACTGACTACAGGGACAAAGGTAATTTGGCTATGGCCTTCTTATTACTCCTACTACTAGAACACTTTTACAGGATAGGGGGTCCACAAAGGTTTCGGGGTTTGAGGTTTGGGTTTCAGGGTTTAAGGTAAGGTTTAGGGTTCAGGAGATTGTCGAGAGTAGGGTTTATGGGGTTCAGGGTTGGTGGGGTTATCGACTGAAAACAGCCTTTCTGTTTATCTTGGAGAATGCTGTATTATGATCCTAGACGGGTCATGAAATGTCCTGTCACAAAAGGAATTTCCATGGAGATCCATGGTAGTTTGGGAGAGTATAAGCCCTCAGCCCTATATATATTAAGAGCCTCCGGCTCAGTCCGCCGACCGCGGGAGCGCAAATGGTGAGGGCCGCGGGGCAGGGGCATGGTCGCAACGACGCCGCAACAACGGACCCGCAGCCCAGGGCGCGTCTCCCAGGGGCTGGCCTTAGGGCTTTGGGGCCCCAAGCTTGGTCCGGGCTCCAGGCTTGGGCTGGGGCGTCCAGGGGCTTGGGGCCCGGGCCCACAAGGGC